ATTATTATTATTATTATTATTATTATTATTATTATTATTATTATTATTATTATTATTATTATTATTATTATTATTATTATTATTATTATCATTACTATTATTGTTATTTGATATATAAAAATTTAAAAGTCATGTTTGTGAGTTTGTCTATTTCTTGTTGTTGAGCAAATCGATTATCGAGGAAACACTTCATGTTGGTTTCGAGCTTTTCTTGTATCTTTTCCTTTCTCAATTTGTGACTTTATCTTCGAATATATTCCTGTTATAGACGTCAAATTTGACAGAACCGTTTTCTCATCGTGAGAATGCATTTCTATCGAAATTCTCCACAGAATACTTGCCAACATTTCGTCGAAATACCGAAAATGTTTCGAGAAGTATCATAAGTACGAATAGTTAGCGGTTATGACAATTTTGATATGTGGTAACTTTGGTTTTCAAAGAAAATGCATTGTTTTCAATAATAAAAAGTAAAAATGAAGAAATTTATTTAATTGATTTTGAAATAAAAGTAACATAATTAGCCAAGAGATTTATATTATTAATAAATTTGTATTTGTTTTATAAGTTTCATTTGCCGTTTTATTGTTGACAAATTTATAAAATAGATAATTAAAGATTATAGTAAATTTCCTATCGAATTTTTTTGTAACAAACAAATTCGACATAGCGATGGTAGGTAAATACATAAAAACTAGTTCAGACTTTTGGTTTGGCACGTATTCAATCTCGATAGGCCGTCACTTGGGTGTAAATTCTAGAAGTAGTGTTGGGTACTATACAATCAACCCCAAGAGATGATACCAGGAAGTTTTCCATCGATATCCAAAGAACTACTCGAGTTACCTGGATAAGCATCCTTTCGATTTTGTAGATAACTAATATGGAAACATTATTTTTGTCAGTTACGTGGACAGTTACTCTTTACAGTTTTCTTTTTTTTAAATTTAAACAATAGTTGTGATAATATCGCATTCTGTAATAAAATGGTAATTTATTGTAATAGAAATGACATGAACGTGTGAATCAAAGATATGTCATTAAATTGGGAAAATTTTCATTATAGTTTTCAAATCATCGTATGGATTATAACATGATAGAGGTGTCATTCAAAATCAATAATTTTGTATGAACTTCAATATCAATTTAATGCAGCCTCACTGATGTATAATGATTCGTTGTCAATACCCAGTTTCTATTTTGAGATAATACTATCATCGTAGGTGTATTACCAATATTTCGTAACATTCATTTAGTAAGAAAATCCTTTGATGTTTACCACGTCACTACTTATTTTACGAACATGCAATTTAACATTTTTCGATTCTTCGAAATCGAGGTCGTCTATCAAATTCCCTTGAAAAAATAATTTCCTTTCCTATTTTATTTCTGTCACACGTTCGCTTCATCATTCTTGAAATGATAGTGGAAAGGTAACTTTTCGTTAATCAGACAAAGAATTTGATATCTTCTCTGGTGTTTGTAAGGAAGTGTCTGAAGTTACGATACTTTTGACTTATCATAAAATTGCTCTTACTTTATCACATTTTAATCATCTCAAAATGATGAATACTACCGACTTAAATATTGTTCCGTAGTTTATAATTAGCACGTGATATTGTTATTGTAAAAAAATTCAAAAGTAGTATATATTGTTCATTTTTAAATCATTTTATGTAAAATCATATTCCTATCGTATATATATATATATATACATATGTAATAAAAATAAATAAAGACGTTGTATGTGTGTGTGTATGTGTATGTAAAGTTTGAATTGTTAATGATATTCTACAGAATCAGAGATCTTTATTCTTAAGGATATGTTTGTCAGAAATTAGATGCTGAATCCTTAGGGAATAAGTATCCTAGTGTAACCTAATTTGTTCTGGTATTGTAGTTCTCTTCCTTCTGGGTTAAAAATGAGACCTTTGAAGCTTCTTTGTTTAAGCTCGGGCAAGGGTCTAGCCGTCCCACAGACGTAATCGTTTTCCCGATATATATATATATATATATATGTTCACACGTTCACACATATACAAGAATTGCTTCTCTTCTGAAGGCTGCAACAGCACTGCCGTGAAATAATTTCAATCTTTGGACGCGTTCCAGATTGAAAAACGAACTAGTCGTAACGCTTCCTGAACTTATGGTGATAGAAAACTGTAACACATATTCGTATATGTATATGTTTTTAATAACAAACGTTAGAGATTGAGAAATACTAACTTGGCGTATCAATGTAGTAAAATTCGATGCAATTTCGAGGATTTAGAATCAGAGGATTCATCTCGAGCCGAAAGTGGGAGATAAAGAGCTAAGCCTCTAGGGAAGTAAGCCTTCTATTTCGAGTAACTGCAAAAGCGGGTCGATAGAACTGACGCGAAACTCGTATGCCGAGTCAAAACGTGTGTGCGTGCCAACTTAATACTTTTCGATTTACTAATTTGTAACATGTGTTTCCTTTTAAGAATAAGGTAAAAATTTAAAAGAAAAACTACATATATAATGTAACATAGTATTTTATATTTTGTATATACATGCGTATATATTATATATAATTTAGTATAGTTATTTGTTTATATTTTCTTTGTAGAATCACATGCACAGGCATACATGCATGCACATACATATTTTACATAATTATAATTTAATAGACAAAAAGGAAGAAATAAAATCAACAAAATACAAACTATAATAAACGATGCGTTAAGCTTGAAAAAATATTTGTTCATTAAACTCGTTAACTGAGATTTAAAACGATATTGATAAATAAATCATGAAAGAACGAAAATGTATAATACACGTATACTGGTATATATGTATATGTAACCAGTGGTTTAAAAAAAAATTATGATAGATATTTGAATGTACATTACGTTCAACGTTATAGAACTAAAAATATTAATTGAGTATGTGGGATCACCAATGATTTGCAAATTTTCCAAATAATTATATCATAAAAGGGAAATTAAAATAGGAAAAAATCGAGAGGAATATTTTTAAAAGTAAAATTCGGGTATTCATTGGATCCTACAGTGGTAGTAGTGTGGTTTTCGAACGAATATGGAGTCGAACAGTATTCATGACAAGGCATTTAATTAAAATGCCGATAGCTTGGATCTCTTCGCACATATATGTATATGAATATGTGTGTGTGTAAACGAATTCGTTACGAAGTGAGTGAAGAATTAATCACCATCTATCCGGATCTACCTATCAATCTATCGTGCGATTTAGTTTTTCTCGTTTCCTAGGAAAATTCGTTTTCATTCGAAGATTTCGCGAGAATGTAAAAAAAAAGAAAGAAAAAAAATGTACGCAGCCTCTATACGCGATAGAAGTGAAACTCGTATTGTCACATAGAAAATAATTAATTGATTCATATATAAATTGAGTACTTCCTTAAAATCGTATACCTTTAAGTTTACTAGATTTTTTCTTGAAAACTATTGATATATGAAGTGTTTAGGATGAAAAAAATTTAGAAATAAATACATTGGTATATCTTAATTACACATTTTAAATGAATTTAACTTGAAAGTTTTATTTATAATAAGTGAATTATAAAGCAAATAGAAAAATAATGTACAAGAAACGCTTTTACTTCGAATATTAAACAATATCTATCAGATATTTCATTACATGAAAATTTTCGAAATAAAGTTATTGCATACAAGGAACGTTAAAATAATTCTCAATATTAATTGACAAAACTATTGTATTAGATAATCTTAAATAATTGTTAATTAATCAAAAGGAAAAAGGAATATTGTAGTTTATGTACACGGAATATAAGTTCGATGAACCGTTTTTTCTGAAATCCCCCCCTTAAACTGGCTCCGTTGTTTTCTAAGAAAGTTTTTTTATCGAATGCTGTTTATATGATTTTGGTTGATTTGTTTGATTTTGGTATGATGAAGGTTCTATTATGTATAACTCGCATAAATATTCGAGAAGTAAATAGAATTTATTCTTCTTAAAGTCATATAAACAATTAGAATTTTAATTGGCTTTCATAGATGACAACGTGCCAGTCTTACGGTGGATGCCGAAGAGGAAAGTACATAAAACTTATATTCAGTGTTTTTATACTACATTATGCAGTTCCTTCGATTAATTAACCATCATTTAGGATATTTCGAGCACTCTCAAGGAAAATTACATCTCCTCTCATGGTTCCGTAAACAAACGCATCTTGTAATAACTATCGATCGATGTATTTCATATATATAAACAAACACACACTCAACAACTAACACTAGAACCTTTCATAATTTTGTTCAACTGTAGGTTCTATCCTACTTTCTCTCTCTCTTTTGATAATATGTCGTTTCATAAAATATTATCGTTACTGTTATTTAAGAAATTTCACTTCAAAAATGAGAAAGAAACTCGCGTGAAATGATGATTAATGTTGGGAAAAAATACTGTCATAGGTTTATCGTTTACGTTACAAACACGCAACAGTAGTTATCTTTATGCATGTATATGTATGTATGTATGTATGGATTCAATGTTTGCGTTTAGAATTTGATGTTTTCTATGTTATTCTCTTCACTTGTTACATTCTACTGACGTATTCTCCGACGACCACGCGAAAAGTTTTATCGAGAGCTGTCAACAGTACCTATACCGACAACATGCTGCTTGCTAGACACCTGAGTATGTTCCTTGCACGTTGGATCCGGCTCATCAAAGACAGAGGAATACGTTTTACTTCCGGTTGTCGGGTAAAATGAACTACCTATGTCAATTGAAGAAAGAGAGAGAGAGAAAGAGAAAAGAAAGAAGGTAGAAACTATTTTCAAGCTTTATAATCTATCTTTTTCTTTTTCCTTATATTTATTAGTATATATTTTATAATTTTTAATCTTCAAAAAAATAACGGACCGACTTCGTTATTTAGCCATTATTAATATTTTATTTATTTTTCATTAAAAAAGAAATAGAACAATCTTGAAGAAAAGTATTCTCACATAATCAATAATTAATCATTGATTTTAAGCGAGACTACTGAGTTCTCTTTTGAGTCATCGCCAAAGATGGCGAACTACCAGCAACGATGCATTTAATCAAAGATTTATGGTTGTCAACGTCGGAAAATGATTCGACGAAAACACCAGGCACGTTCCTTCATTTCTAACACGTACATACATATGTACATACATACATACATATATATATATATTTTCAAGTTGGCTTTTTATTGCAACTTTTGCGTTAGGTTGATAAAAGGGGAGATTCAAAAGGAACGAGCTCGCTACGATATATGTAATATAATTTAAACCTACACACACGTTCGCACGTACTGTGAAAAACGATATTAATTTGCATCGTTATTATTATTGTTCTTTTCTTTTTTTAACGATTTTTTTAAACAAAAGATATACATTGGTACAAATCGAAAATCATTCTCCCGCACTAAAGCGTACACATTCATATACACGAATACAATAAAAAACGAAGTTAACTTGCATCGTCACAATTTTTGTTACTTTTTTAAATAATTTTATTTAGCTAAAAAGGTATACTTATGTATTATTGTTACCGTTTTTTAAAACAATAATTAAATATGATGCATTTTATATATAATATAAAGATCTACTTAATAATAAGATAACCAAATATTGAATAAAAGGTAAAATATATTGTTCAACAACCATAATTACATTTCACCATGAATGTTAATTCCTTAGACTACGTTGGAACATCTTTGCACGATGGACCGTGATAGATTTTCTTGGCAAATTCATTTTACTATACTATATCGAGTAGAGATCTATTAAAGCAAGATATACATAGGTTGTTACGATAACTTCAACCTCGTTTGACCCGGAAACGAGGTTCGCAGAGTGGGAGCTTTTCTGTCTCCGGTTTGACGTCATAGAGGAAGTACGTTGCTGCGTATAACAGAATAGAACACCGACCGAACCCATTTACAATACTCCCTTTTAGTTTAACGCCACCCTCTAAAATAGATATATACATATATAATCTATTATCTATATATATCTATATATTCATATAGAATATATTAAAATAAGCTATGTATATTTTTTCTAGTAAACAGATATTCAAATGCAAGACTATTTTTAGTAAAAAATAATAAAATATGAGAGTACGTTTTTATAGGAAGAATATTAAAAAAAAACGAATAAAATTCAAATAGCAAATATTGCCTTATACACATAAAAGATTATCTATCAACAAAAAGGATAAATCAGAATAAACGAGTAATTATAGGAATAGTAACTTGGAAATATTAATTTTTGTGAATCATTAAAGTTCTATTCTGTTAAATCTCTCATCAGGGAATTTTTATTGCTATCCTGACGAGCTTTAAATCATTTCGCTTATGATTCTTATTAGTTAGCCGATAAAGATAGACATAGATAGAGAGAAAGAGAACTATATCGTACCAATTCTCGATGGGATCGTTATACCTCTACAATATGTATATGACGAGATTATTTCGAGTATACACGAAGGACGTTCGAGATAAACCTACGAAAGCTATTGTCTTTAGGATTAAAGCCACTCCAAGTTTCCTTTCAGCGATCATAATGAACATGCGAGTTTGTCTTTCGATAAGTTATAACTAGCTGGTTAATTATTCTACTTGATGATCATCTAAATTATCTCTATATTTGAAATTTTAGATTAAAGATATTAATAAGTATGATATTAGTAAGTGATATTTTTTATCGATATCGATGAGAAACTTCGACTGGATGAAAATTAAATATGTTACTTTTTTTTTAATCAAATATAACTAAGGAATTACTTAGAAGACTTTATTTATTTTTCTATGCATACTTTGAATTAATTTAATTTAAATTAACGTTAAATGTGAAATGACTAACGGACTTACTTTTCATTTGTTCATTTTTTACTTACAAATAATTATGGGCATATGTATATATACATACATGTATGTATATATTATAATAAATAGAGAGTAATCGATATACGAATAAGCATCAGAGAAATCGATGGAAATTAGTCGAATGTAGTTACCCTATAATATTGTCTCCTGTAACGTGAATACCAGCGTATTGCAACTAGTAATTAGTGCTGATTGCATTCTCCGGTGCATTAATGCGATCGCGAATCGAAACCGATCTCTTGAACGTTTATAACTATTGTTTATCTTTTCCTCTCTCTCTCTCTCTCTCTCTCTTGGGTATTGCTTGAGATCATGCAAGAAAGAGATAAATTAAAAATAAAGGATAAGTTAATCGGAAATTTGAATAAAACAAAGAATTTAAGTACTTCTTAGCTCTTGACAAAGAGTCTTAAGATAAGAAACCATCAGCTGTTCGAAGTTCAATTATAATGAAAATTCATTTAAATGTAACAATATAAGTTCATTATACGATTACGATACTTTGCGTATATTTTCTTATCGGTCGTATTAAAAAAAAAAAAAAAAATGAAAAAAAAGAAAATTAAGAGGAAAAATAAAAATATATGAAATCTTATATTTTTCTTCAGACTTTCTTTTTAATTACCATTGTCAATCGATGATGATGATGATGATAATAATATGAAAGAATTTTATTGTTTAGTTATTTTTGTTTTCTCGTATACATTTAAATATAATATATTTTTAGTATAAAATGAATTTTGATGTTGGATATCAATTAAACGTGACATTAATTACAATGACATATGTATTTAAATGAAAATCGAATTTAAACCTTGATGACAAAGTATATTTGTGCATTATAATCGAGTAATAAATACTCATATCATGTTCAATCGTCTACGATCTTGTGATATATAAAACGCATTTGTATGAAATGATATCATGCTCGTTAAATACACCTATATGGGTAAGTACAGATAGTTTTATATATAGGTAGAAAGAGAAAGAAAAATAATAGTTCATTGCTTTCCACATAGGACAACTCTCTCAACGTAGAGAGAGTTTCCGATGAGATCTCGCGTTTTATATTCCTCTTGTTTTTTATTTTATCTTTTTATATATTATATTTTTCATTTTATTTTTTTTTCCACAATACGAACGCGTCCCACAAGTTCATTTGCACTAAATATTTCTCTACGATTGCGAACCTACCTCTAGGGGAAAATGTATATATGAAATTGATTTCATTAAATGTTTCTTGTTTAATCTTTTTTTAGTGATATTTTCATTTTACCTTTTTATAATATTTCGAATGTTTTTAATTTCAAGAGACACACACACTTTAGATAATAATAATTAATTATTAACGGTTAACTACTAAAACGTGATTTTTCTTTACGTTATCTTCTAACCGATGTTTTTCGTTTCTTCGATTTATATATTTATTTTTAATTATTAATTTTTATAAATGTCAAAAACAAAAATAAATTAACAGAGATTGGAATAAGATGATACTATGATCGTTTAGCTTTATGCAAATACTTTCTTTTATTTTACTGGACGAGCTGAGAATGTACACGAAAGAGCGTGCAACAATTACTAGGATAATGAAACGATCTTGTCCTTCTGGGTTTCATTCTCGTCTGCTTTACAGCGTCGGCGTTTCATAGAGCTTTTAAACGAACCCAGATAAAACAAGAAGCTGAGGGCTTTGAAAGTGGGTTATTAACCTCTTTCCATGAAGCCGAATCAAAATTGGAACGAGTCGTTACCTACAAACTTATGAACATGTTACATTTAAATATATTGTACATACATTATTAGTATGAATGCACTTTGTCGTCGTTATTTAAATTTGTAATAATTTCAACGATATAATGTTAATCTGCGTTACGCGATCAACATAAATCGACTTGTATAATGTTAAATTCATCGTCAGTTTAATATCGTTATTAAAATTCAACGAATAAAGCGAATATCCTACTAATGTTTCCTAAATTAATGTGGAAATACAAAAGCTCAGAGTTTTCATTAAGTTATATCCTAATATATTTTACAATCATTATTCACATCGTTAATAACAAATGTTTTATCTCTTGTCGCATTTACCATACGACATCTGAATATTTTCATTTCAAATAAATTTAAATAAATGTTATTGTGTTAAACTGCGCATATACGTACCCACAATTTTTGTTTTTATATACCAAGTTTTATCTATTATATCGTATAATAATAAATAAATTATTTATTTCAAAATTATTATTGAAAAATATAACCTCAAGCATAAAATATAAATATATACACATCGTGTTATTTGCGTTCTGTCGAATGTCATTCGAGATCAGTCTTTTGGTAACTGCCGAGGTAGAAAGTTGGAAGATCCAATATGAAGATACATTAAAAAGTAAATATATATATATGCATATATAGATAAATGCATATATACAGGGTGTTCAAAAAAAACCATTCAATAATAATATAGTATACAGGATACACGGTACTGAGTAAAAAAGTTTTAGTAAACATAGGTCGAAAAGTATATGTAGAGAAGTATATATTGGATCTTTTTTTACGATCGTCACGTCCATACGAAATAAAAAGCATAAGAAGACCTGGAAATTCCCAATGTAGATAGATATCAATCTTAATCGATAAGCTCCTACCAGTGAGATATTATTTTTGTATGTACAGAGGAACGTCCACCAAAGTTGTGATCATTCACGACTTAAACAAAAAGTAAACGAGAAAGTGTGCGTTAAGCGCTTTTACTTCGATCATTGCATTCGTTAAATCAAACTCGTTATTTTTTTTATCTTTTTTTTTTAACTTAAAACGATTTAGATCTAACAAGCGCGATTCTGTGAATGATTCGTGCTAAAGAATAATTTAAACGTT